AATTGATTTCAGAGAGGAAGGGAGAGGGAGAGAAAGATAGAAACATCAATGATAAGAGAGAATCATTGATTGGCTGCCTCCTGCATCCCCCCCACTGGGGTAGAGCTCGCAACCTGGGCGTGTGCCATGATTGGGAGTCAGACTATGACCTCTTGGTTCATAGGTTGACACTCAAACGTGGAGCCACACCACTGGGGCTAATTATATATATATATATATACTAGAGGGCCCGGTGCACAAAAATTTGTGCCACTGCCTGAGCGTGGGGTTTGGGTGGGGGGGTGGGGGGTGTTTTCCCTCAGCCGGACCTGGGCACTCTTTCAAGTTTGGGGACCCCTCAGGAGAAAACCTCCCTGCTGGTTTTTAGGTCCGGGCTCCCCCGGGTGGCGGAAAGGGAGGGGCAGATGGCAGGCCCGGATCCCACGCTGGGTCACAGATGGCAGGCCCTCTGCTGCGCCGCCCCGCTGCCCGCTGCCCGCCGCACAAGGCAGGCCTGGCGGGTGGTGGGGCAGGGCAGGCAGATGGGGCAGGCGGATTGCACATGGACTGCCAGCCCGGAGGGCAGCGTGGCGGGGCAGGGCGTGGCGGATCGCAATTTGCCGCGCCCCACCCCGCCGGCCCCGGCGCCGCGCACATGGATGGCAGGCTCGGCAGGCAGCAAGGCGGGGTGGGGTGCGGAGCAGGCGGATCGTGATCTGCCGCGCCCCGTGATCTGCCGCGCCCGCCTGCTGGCCGCCGTGCGCGGACACAGACGGCAGGCAGGCAGCTTCTGGGGTCGCACACGGGCACCTGGATGGCGGCTCACGCTGGCGGCTCAAGCTCTCCCGCCCTGCCTGCAGTATGCAAATTAGCTGCCATCTTTGTTGGTGGTTATTTTGCATATCACGCTGATTAGCCAATGGGTGGCGTAGCGAAGGTACGGTCAGTTACCATGTTTGTCTATTATTAGATAGGATTTTAAAACATCCATATGTCAGTTATCCACCTGGGGATTGGAGTGTTTAATCCACTTATATTTGATGTGATTACTGTAGGATTTACGAATCCTGCTATTTATTTTGTATATGTATTATTCTCCTATTTCTGTCTTCTTTTGTATGAAATAGATGTTTTCTAGTGCACCATTTAAATTCCATTGGTGTTTTTTTAAATTATACAGTTGACCCTTGAACTACCACAACATGGGTTAAACTGCATGGATGTACTTCCAGGAGATTTTTTTCAATTGCCCTGACCAGTTTGGCTCAGTGACTAGAGCGTTG